CTCTGTGAGTTTATATACCCGAGCATGTATGCCGATGCTACAACTTGCAGCTGGTCACACCACCGCTTCTTTCTTGAGTATTCCTGTTGGGAGATAAACATCATGTGTTGGCGAATGTCTGGGTGTTATTGAGTATTTGAAGCACGGGAATTCCTTTGGAACCGACGGCGTCAGCCGGAGGTTTCAAATGAAATATTCCCGTGCTTCAAATACTCAATAACACCCGGACATTCTCCAACACATGAAGTTTATCGACATTGTAAACACAAAAGTAAACCGAAAGGTCCACACGCGTTTTTTGTGTCTGCTCTCATTGACATCGAGTACGGGTACAGCAGTGAAATGTCATCAGCCGGCCGTTTCGGCTGTCTCCCATTTTAGCATCTGGAACTGCTCATTTGTGACGTCATTCGGACTTTACGTCACAATATGATTTTAATGACGTCATCACAGCTGACGACGTAACAATACAATGGTGTGAGCGATGTTTGTATGTATTAATACGCAGAGAATTTCCGGGAATTAAATACCATTTGATCACGTTCTTCAACCAATCAGATTAAAGAACACAGTGACTTTTGGTTTACAAAATTTAACAGAGATAGCTATTCAATTACAAATTACTTACATATGAGTATATCAAATGCAATCTTGATCGTTAAATTGCAAACATAATGCCCTTGAAACATAAATATGGGTATGTGTATCACATTTTTTCTTTTTGTAAAACACCTGATTTTTTGGTTTGAGGAACGCATACGATGAAAACGTCGCAGGTGCATCTCCTGCATATGCGCAGTCAATTCCACTTGGATCTGAGCCAAATGAAGGAGACTTGCGAATGTGAAGAATGGCTCTTGACAAACGTACAAAGCATACTCACTATACCCACCAAATTCAAGTAGCAGAAGAACTGAATTTTAGACATGTCGAACGTAGATTCGATAGATTTGTCTTTATTATCATTGTCTTTATGACCGAAATATTACCGATGTGACTATGAAAGACTAGCTCACTACAATACAGATGTAATAAGAACTGTTCAGTCCTCGACGCACTTGGAGCTCGTTATCCACAATGTACATGTGAAATCAATACACGGCACACAATGTAGAAGATTGTGTGTTTTGGGAAGCATAATACTCACACACGCGTTGTTTTTTTATATGAACAACACACAATGACTGTTTATTTACCAGATCCTAATAGAATCACTTTTGTTTAACCACGCAGTGTCATGGCTTGCTGCAAATCAGGGTCGTCGAGTCTACATCACAAAGGAATGCTACAAGAGATAGTTGCCAGACATTTTATGTGCACTGAAACAATATTGTATGAATGATATATATGGAGACACATGCAAGGGAATGTCGTGGACTGTCGTACAAATATCACTCCAACACGACAACCATATTCGATTGGTGCATCTACTGAATCAATAAGAAACCTTGGACCATTTCTTGGTATTACATTCCAACATCACCGTCAAGCATGCTTTGCGTAGACAGCATTTACAGGAGAACGTTTAGCGACGCTTGTTTTAATCAATTTTAACCGATTTTGTTGTGAAAATGTTATGGCATTAGGTGGCATCTCACAACTCATAGCAGAGTAGATCTAATATATTGGTGGCATACCAACCTGGCGTACCCAGCCTCTACCCATTGTGCGAATGACTTGGCGTCACGTCACGTTGCCCGTCCACATATTGCACGTGTCGTGACAGATCTTTTGAGACAGCATTGCGTTGTCCGACACACAGAATGGCAGAATGACATACGACATCTGACATAACAAACAATGTCAATGATAGTTACATTCACTTAGCAGGAGCAGTGGCCAGACTTACAAACCTTGGCTTGATCTGTTGTGTGAAACATGGTGCTCGCACAACTCCTGGTCTTCATGTAGGTAATGAATAGCAATTCATCCCAAGGTTAATATGTATAATGAACGCCCGGGCGGAGCGAGGGTGTTCTTTTACATATTAACCGCGGGGTGAGTTGCTATTTGACTTACACATCGCGGTTAACGACTGACTAGACATTTATAAAATCAATTTAATTACTTTTACTTTGAAATACATTTAGTTTGAATATATGCATGAAAGCAGAAGCAGCCAGGATTATGTCAATTTCACTACGACAGACGTCACCATTTTCACGTGCATATCATGCAGTGACAGCACTGCGTCAACACCGCGGGTGTGTTCTGGCGCTCAGTGTTAAACATCGTTGGGATACTCCTCGCAATTTGCTAATACCGCAATAAGTTATACATTTTGGGAGTTCTTATCATCATGTAATTTCCAGTTTTAAAGAAAACAAATGTTGTAATTATGGGATAATATTCTTAGAATGTTTACATTTCTATAACTAAACGAAATACAACATTTTAAAAGGAAACGAAAACAAAAACAAATCACAGAAATACAACTCAGTTGTGGGCACATGATGTTTAGGATAGTCAAGATCATTCGTGTACAAGATGTCGACTGATTGGAATGATGAGCTGGTTGCAGCTAGACAGAATATTGAGCATATAAGTCAAGTTTTGGGACCGGAGACTACCAAAAACATGGATATTTTGTTCCTGTCAACTGACTTGGATATTAAAGAGCGCGCACAGGACGCCGTACCCAAGAACACACGTCGGAGGAACGGTGAATACCTTCAGTGACTGGGCTATTTGGAGGAATAACAACCGTCTTCATGAAGAGAAGATCATTCTGGTTGATTAGGTTCGTGAGGGTGACAACAGCGACCAAACTCTACGAGGAAGGGATCCCCGATCAGCTCATAATGGAACGAACTGGGCACAGGAGTGTTCTTGTTTGATTAACAAATATACACAGTTCATGCTAAATCCTTTTGATTTGACAACATGAAAATATTTGAAATAAAACTATTTACGATTTGGTTTTTTATCGGGAGGCGGAAAGAAATAATATTGCCTCCTTGCCTCAATATAAGTATAAGTATGAACTTGTTTGAATTATAAAAATGGTCTTATGTGGACTGAGTTAATATGTTCATATAGTATCGTTCATGTTCATGTTTGTCACAAATTGCATAGAAAAACCCATTGTAATTAATCATTATCAAAATTAATGGTCATATCTTGAATAACACAAATACTACAAATTTACATCCAACTCTTTATTTTGCAGGTTGTAATTATAAACGGACATCAGAAGGCCATAAGATCGAGGTCAGCGACGTGATTAACATTTCTCCGGCCAGTGCAACAGCAACTACTGACTGTAGTACAGATGTGAGTGAGAAGACTGGTACCGCAGCCCCGATCGAGATCAGATGCACGAGTGATGTTCCTCCATCAATGGCGAGTACGAGAGTAATTAAAGAAATCCTGACGTACCTTTAACAGGAGGATACAAAACTGTGGCGTAGCGGAAGTTTTTATGTATCCGGACGAGGATACGTTTGTCAGGCTATTTAGACTGATCTCTTGTAATGTTATCCGGGGTTTAAAGCCACGTCGCCCTAGGACGATATTACAGAAGCAACCTCTGATGACGTCACAAGAGGTTTATATGAAAACAGCTATCTATTGTAAAGACCATATCATCCTAAGGTGTGTAATGTGAAATAATACCTTCCAAAAAGCACTATTCCAGGCTGGATTAGTCAATAGTGTTCTACAAGACTCTAGATTACACTTCACTCAAGCAGCATCAAACCCTGGCTTCCACATAACGAGGAGCCTGACTATTGATAGTCTAGATAACGCACATTGTGTTCTCCTCTGACAAGTGTAAACTGGCACGGCTCCAGTGACGGAAGGCTCTGTATACACACTGCGTCTTAGAAACTCTTCAAGTCAGAGTGTTCCTTCGGTGTTGGCGATCTATAGCCCGTTTTCATAACGGTCTAGTTTTAAATGTAGTTTATCTGTTTTACTGTCCTTTGTTGATAAGTTTGATATTGTTTACATTTTGTTATAATATATACAGTTTTCATAGTCACGCTATGACTGAAAATTGTTACTGTCCTTTGTTGACAAGTTTTATATTGTTTACGTTTTATTATAATTTTTTTAAGTTTTCATAGTCACACTATGGCTGAAATACTGCCGATGTGACTCACTCACTCACCAGAAAGTTAAAATGTTCAAACATATGATATATTTGGGATTACACTTTCTCAGTAAAGATTCCAATACTTTTGGGCTGGATTCCCATCCTGGATTCGCACCCACACACTAGGTGAGGAACGTAGTCGGCAACACACAAAGCCATCCATCTAACCTACTCAGCCATCGCAGGTTCAAGATTAGAAATACACCTTATCCTAACATACGCAGCATTAAACCATAGCCTCAAAGACATTGTGACCCGTAAAGGTTCGGGTTAGAATATTGATCTTCAGTAACTCATGCTTGTCGTAAGAGGCGACTAACGGGATCGGGTGGTCAGGCTCGCTGGCTTGGTTGACACATGTCATCGGTTGCCTATTGCGCAGATCGATGCTCATGCTGTTGATCACTGGATTGTCTGGTCCAAACTCGATTATTTACAGACCACCGTCATATAGCTGGAATGTTGCTGAGTTCTAAACTAAACTCATTCAAAACATTGTCTTTTCGGGACTATTTGTTCATCGGCTGATAATGCGAATGGATTGAGGTTTGCACTGTGCACCTGCAGTCTGCAATGTCTGTTCTAGTCCGATAGACACAATAAGTGACTTTAGGCAGCTGTTCTCGATCGCGAACCCGTATACACATCGTGTCACAAAGGAGGTTCAGAGAAACAATAATACATGTATTTTGTAGAACGATTCCCATGTAACTTCGTGTTCCAAAGGAGAGAAGCGCTGTTTGGACCAAGAGGATATTTGTAACATTAGAAACGTCCTCGTGTTAATCGGTGGAATCCTCCTTACTCCGATATGGAACAAGTGCTGGAGTTTGACGGTATGAACAACCAATTTCATAGTAGACCAAAGACTTCAAGAAAGCACAAAAGACGTTCGCCATGTAAGTATTGACATTTTATCAGCAGCTAAGTAGGTGTGTGTCGTAAATGTCGTTGAAAGGCTGCTGGAACGATGCAAAATAGAAATCACTTGAACATACATGTACATACACACGAGCAAACGTTATCACTTAACAGGTACAGCAATCTACAGTCCAAGTATGTACCTTCATAAGAAAGCGTCCGTATTCATTTCGCGTGTTCTCTGCTCTATAGAACGAACGCTCTGTGCATCCACGTCCTCTGTGTGAGCATATCTGATGAAAGAAGAATATAGCATGAGACTTCTTCTACGTATGATATCCAGTATTCAGTCATTAGACTGGTGTCCTGTTAATGACTGATACACTCTAAATCCTACTACGATGGGTATTATATTACTATCATTACTTACTGTAATGAGTTCATCAGCATGCAGTGTAAATAGTTTGCTTGACTCGAGTCAATGTCGCCGATGTACTTTGATTTGTCAACCAAAAAGCAATTGGATATCGAATCATATCCTACATATCTTTAGTCATGTCAAGCTCACAGGCAAAAGCTATTGTCTGAGCAATAATACAAGAGCCGTTTACTGTATGTCTCTGAGAAGACGTTACAAGTAATCCATGGGCGTTAACGTGAGGTACAATGTGTGAAGCCCATTTCTGGTGTCCCCCGCCGTGATGTTGCTGGAATATTGCTAAAAGCGGCGTAAAACCATACCCAGTCAGTCAGTAACGTGAGGTGACATGATACGGATTTAGCCTCAGAATGTTAGTCGTCTACCTATCAACTATATTTAGGTCCGATTTACTCTTAAGGCGGGATCGGGTGGTCAGGCTCGCTAATTTATGTGAATGCATGTCATCGTATCCGAATTGCGAAGATATATGCTCATGATGTCAATCACTGGATTGTCTGGTACAGCCTCGAGCATTACCGACCGCCGTTTTATAGCTGAATTATCGCCGAGTGCGGCATTAAACAATAACCAAACTAAACGCTTGTAAGGTCATGCACAGCATATATAATGTTCGTGATAATTCAAGTCGTGTTCTCCGTAACATGATTTTATTTTTATGTCTTCATCGACTTGATTTCGTCTATGTACAAGACCCCATTAAAATGGGTCTGGAAAAGAAAATTTAAAGTCTAATTAGCAGTATTTCCGCCATATTGTGAATAAGAAAGATGTAAATTCATAAATGAATAAAAACAAATTTTGATAATTTACTTACCGGTCTGCAAAGGACAGTAAAACAAGTAGACTATCACAGATATTAATTTAAAACTAGTAATTAAATCGAAAATATTTTAACTATAAGTGGCAATACAATATAAAAACAGGCTATAGATTGCCAACAACTAAAGGTAGATCACCATACTTGGGACCATGGGGACTTACAGTACATTTGCTTCCTGCATGGACCCTAGCTGGATTTACACCATCCCTTCGGATGTAAGCAATTTTGGGCAATCTCGCCATAAATTAAAATGACATATATACTGCAGTTAAACATATTTTAAGTGTGGTCGAAAGTGTTGTGAAGCTTTCCTTTTGTACATTATTCATAAATTGCAGATGTTGCTTTAGCTATATGTATATCTATATATGTCGTGCTTTTCCAAAAAATTCCAATATAAACCAATGACATGAAGTATCACAATCAGGATAACGTCATGTGTACAAGCTATAAAGCTGGATAATTGAAACTTACGTCATTAAGTTTTCAGCGTCGCGTATGTTTTCCGGAAGCTTTCTGTTCAGTGTTTCCGGAAGTCGCAATGCAAGGAAACCAGCCAAGGCAGTAATGCTCCCAAAGATGAGCGTAGGAATTATTTTCTGGTATCTGCCCTCAACATGCATTACCTGAAAAGATATGGATAATTGACGTCGATATCGAGTTCAAGCTACATTATATTCAGACATACTGGTGGTGAAGGCCTTGGTCCTTTGCGAAATCTTAAACCTGTTCATGCTTATATAATACCAATTTCGGGTTTCGATCACATATTTTTTGACGATGCTCTCCTGCCGCAGTTAAAGTATGAATATCAAAACATTAACACATAATAATCATACCGTAACAAAATATACCCAATAAATTCCAAGTGGATCACGTAATTCTATATGATTTTAAAGTAGTTGAAATAAAGGTTCTCAATTCGAAGTTTTACGAACTACCGAAAAATATGTTCAGATTTCCGAAAACAAAGAAGGAAATGCGTATTTTTGACATTCATGAAGGAAACTACAGTATATGTTCTCTGACTGACTGACTGAGTTTGGTTTTACGCCGCTTTTAGCAATATTCCAGCAACATCACGGCGGGGGACACCAGAAATGGGTATTCACACATTGTGCCCACGTGGGGATTCGAACCCGGGTCTTCGGCGTCACGAGCCAACGCTTTAACCATTAGGCTACCCCCACCGCCCCTTATGTTCTCTGAAGTAGAGTAAATGTTATATACCAAGTCGTTGATGTAAGGTGACACCAGGCTTCCACCCCGACAGAACATGGAACACAGACCAATGCCAGAGTTCCTGGATGTCGTTGGCAGCAGCTCCCCCGTGAAGACGTACAACGCAGCAAACCCTGCTGACACGCACGTGTTACCGAGACAGGCTAGCAGGTTGATGATCCATTTCTCAGCTGAAATAACCCATGGTAAAATGTTCATACTTATTAGCCGTGAAACATGGTAGCTTGAAGATGAGGTTGCCATGGGTTTGGAATTTAACCTGAACAAATTAAACACTGACAATTTTTTTATCACATTGGAATGAACGCCAAAAGCACACAAATTGACTACACACTGTACCAGGAGAAACCAGTTTGTTACTCCACATCTTGGAGTAGTTATGGACGTACAGGCTAAAGTCCGAGTATCTGGCCGTTCCTGAAAAGTAATGTTCAGGAGTCCAGAAACACTTATTGTGTCTTCGTGTGTATTCTGTGTTAGTCGTCTTTTGGGAGTGAATATGTTGTCTAATGCATTTGCAAATGCGACAGTCGTCGTCGCTATTATATCTTTATACTTCTTGATTCACTGACTACGATCGTAAGAATATTCGAAAATGTTTAATAGACAATGTAACATCTTTGTTACGTGTTTCTGAATCCTAAACTGAAAAGAAAAACTTGAAATCCGTCAAGTACTTTGAAAATAATACTTGCTACTTTGTTTTTAAGAATATTGGCGGCCGGGTAGCCTAGTGGTTAAAGCGTCGGCTCGTCACGAGCCATTTTTAGAGTCCCCCATCACGATATTGCTGGAATATTGCTAAAAGCGGTGTAAAACTATACTAACTCACTCCAAGTATAAATTTAGTAGCTTTAAAAAAGTAGCTTTTACAGAAGAATAATTAACAGATTGTCTTGTTCATTGACGGTTTAACTAATAGAACGACTTAATGGATTACTTTCCGGCAGGACATAACATGCTTTCCGGCAGGACATGACATGCTTTCCGGCAGGACATGACATGCTTTCTCTCTTCGCGAAAACCTGCTGTCATCACTGGTTTTAGTGATCCAGTCAATGCTGTTTTGTCATTTACGCCCAGGGGATCTGTTCCTTTTGATAATCGAGACTGCTTATAAGGCGTCAACGGTTTAGAGACAATTAAGGACGCGCCACGCAATGTAGTCCGACTGGTCTGACATATTTGCCACACAAGGATCTATTTTTTTGCTGTATAGTAGAAAGAAGAGGCATGTTCTGTTATCTGAGACATTATTTGTTACACGCGCGGGTATGTCACTTTTCATTTCCTGAAACAGTTTAAGCAGCATATTTTGGTGCGCATATCTAGTATGTACCGCACTAAAATGTCACGCTTCTTAGCCAACACTTGAAACTGCCATCTTTGTTGACGCCAATTAAAGAGTTAGTACTATGTCATTATATGTGTAATAAGTGATCTATATAGATTGGACAGACCATCTTAGTAAGCCGTCACCCTCATAAAGAGCCATCTGGTATAAAGATATCGTGATGTTCGAGTAAGGACGAGAGCACGTCGGACCTTTAAGTGTTGCGCCGCTCTGAAACGTGTCGACGAAACTACCGCATCTGGACAAAAGTGACTTCTAGAAAGGACAATGAAATCGGCTTATCGACACTTGTTATATTCCTGCGTTGACGGTCTTTAATTAAACTAAATCTGAAACAGGGCCAACTGCGAGAAATAACAAGAGAGGAAATGTAACTCGTACAATTCTGTGTTCATCGTCATGATATGCAGGCAAAGACAAGAAGTGTGTGATTCCTCTGCATTGAAAATGTGTGGCACAACGTTCACTCGATGCCCCTTCTTCTATATACCACCGTCATTAAATTAGAACTAAAGGAAGCCACAGAACTCACTTTCCATAATAATATAATCTCTGCTACAAACTGGGTACATTGTAAGATCTGATCCGACTATTCCACGAGCATGTGTTTATGAATCAATATCCAATAATAATGACATGATTATGAAATCGCGTGAAGGTGAACAAAAATGTTGATGCAGTAGCTGGCAGTTTTTATGGCCCAAATATCTTTTGTGCTTCCCTGGCGAGGCATGATTGAAAAGTTTACATTGTTCTAGCACAGACATATGTTTATTATGGTATGGATAGTAGGTGTCTGCAGGATGGAATCGTTTTATAAACCCGATTGTGCAAGCCAACGTTTCACTGCCTTAGATATAACTAAAAGGCAAAAGTTAACAGTGTCATTTACCTGTGTTTTTGGAGTGTCACTTCACAATTACTCTTCTGACATGTAATGCTAAAGTGCACGTGAGTATGCACAATATTGCTTTCGGGTGCGACCTGGTGTAGATAGTGTACATGTGAACTTGGTCTCGTTGCTATTTTGCTGAAATAACCACTCACCCACTGGTTGTGGAAAAGCAGAGAAGCTTCGCACTCACGATTCTTTGAGATTAGAAATGGAAAGAAGGACAGAAGACAAGCCACGCCTCCAGCTATCATGGAGCCACAGAGCATCCACTTCCTGCCCATTCGATCCAACAAGAGCACACACAACACGTAGGCGCACGCCTCCACAGAGACAAAGAGGAAGAAGTTGAGGTAGACGTTGCCAGAAAGGTTGGTGACGTTCATGCTGAGGCCGTAGAAGCACATTCCAACTGCAAACCTGAGAAGAAATACTATATTAGGTATCATGTGGTGGGGATATGTGTTGTATGTAGAAAGATTAATATACAAGCAAGCGTTGACATTTAGAGTTTTCAGTTTTACATCCTAACCATGTACATTGGAAGCACACCCGGTTGATCTCCTGAATGTGCATTTACTGCTCCTCTCGTGTAAAGAACAGGCGCATCAGTTTTTATCATATACTTCTTAACTGCAACAAGTGATACATGAGGAATAATTGTACACATCGTGTGCAATGTTACCCGGGTACATGGACAGTATCCATGTAACATATTTACAAAGGTAATTATATTTACGAAATGTATGTAAACCGTTTGTGTGCATGGAAAGGAAATAGATATTGCATGCTTAGGTTTGTTGGCTCAAACGTTACAATTACAAATTAACATTACGATGCTGTAAAATGTGAAACTTTTATCAATAGAGGTAATATAAATAAATGCGACTGAAAGCATTTCCACAAGAACTAGAGGCAGAGTTCATTGTCTGGTTCTGACATATCGTAAGCATATATGAATCATTATCAAATTTGACGAACCCAGTATTCGAACATATACTGAAAGCCATTAAAAACGCAATTGGTATTTGTTGTCCTGGAACTTACAAAAGTTCTATTGAAGATTTTTTCCTGCGATACAGAGGATGTAGGGATAAAAGGCTGTTATTCTGGCCCATTTCGAGTTCGAGTCCTGGAGCATTCCTCTCACATGAACTTTGATACTTAAAACTGAACCTTTGACATTTCTCGTAAACACAACCACATTCATGAATCACGTTGTACACGTGCATTACCTGCACCCAGGCCCTGTAAAAGCACAAGGTATTGTGGAACTCAATCACTTTGAGAAAATGCCACACTTGACACAAGACGAAAGGAATCAGGCTATCGGCATGGTCAGCCAAGGTGCTTCAGATGTGATGATAGCCAGGCACTTTAATGTGCATCCATCCACTGTAAGTCGACTCAGACAACGTTTTCGGGCTACCGGAAGTGTTGCTGATCGTCCGTGACCTGGTGCACCACCTGTGATAACAGCTCGACAAAACCGCAATATCCGAGTTTCACACTTGCGAAATCGGTTCCAAACAGCTGATGATTGGGCAAGGAGGACAATTGGGACAAGTCAACGTCATTTCAGCGCCCAAAAGGTGCAAGGACGCCTTGCTGCCTTCAACACGTCGTCACCCGTACCGTGGTCCAACCTTATTGCATCGCCACAGACTTGCCATACAGCGATGGGCAGCAAATGGGGCCAATCTTGGCAACAGGACATGGCCAGATGTCATTTTTTTCAGATGAATCCAGGTTTAACTTATCCTTTGCAGATGGACGTCCACAGATTTATCGATGTAAAGGAGAAAGACTTGCGCCAAACTGTGTCCTTGAACGTGATCGTTTTGGAGGGGGTGGTGTCATAATCAAACCACAGACCATCAGAGGCTGCAGACCATCCAACAGCTGTTCCTGAGAAATGTGTCTTTCAATGCCCCAAAGACTGCGATCATGTCTTGCAGCGCACGGTCGACACACACGATATTGACTGCAAGTGACCCCTCCTTTGTGTGATGTCGTTGTTGCGTCACTGATGTTGTTGTTGACTGGACATTTTCAGATGAAATTATTCACAGATGTTCACTTAAAACATATCTGCCAGTTAGGTTTATATATGTTGAAATTAGTGTGAGTAAAGAAAGTATGAATGTCAAATTGCATTTTTAATGGCTTTCAGTATATTCACAAGTAAAACAAAATAACAAAACCATCAAACCACCCTACACTTATTTAACACAACGACTGACGGGTTATATAACGTTACCAGTTATAGAATAAGATCAGTATTCTTCGTGATAAGGTCGGTGACTTAATGAGCTCCCAGAAATATTCTATCTTTGATTCTTCTTTTGTTGTGACACTCTCTAAATCGTAATCACTGATAGTAACTCCGTTGGATTCAGCTATCTTCAGTAACGTTTTCTTTGCCCTTTCGTTCTGGCCTGTACTAAGTAGCCATCTGGGAGACTCTGGTATAAAGCTGAAAATATGATAGTATGTATGCATTTTACCATTACAACTGTTTTCAAACGTTTACATTTACTCTTGGTAACATGTGATCAATATTACAAAAATGTAAAGGAGGTATGGATGCAGTACACATATATTTTCAAAGGACATTGTGAGTTACTAAAATGTGTATGGTCGTTCGCAATTCATGTTATGTCTCTTCCTTACATTCATTACATCACAATAACATTCATAGATTCGAATATTGACATTACGTTCAGTCCAATGTCATCTCTAGCAGCTGTAACCAGTATACAAGGATTCTTGTAATTTAGGACAAGGATACACACTGGCCAACATTTAGGTACTTACAACAAATACAGAAAAATGAACGATGGCACACCGAGCACCAGCTGCCTTGTTTTCCAGTCTCTCAGGAGGAAGGCAGCAAGGGCGACTATCATGTTTCCGGCGCTCCAGAAGAAGTTGATGGCTACTCCTGCCCACATTCTCTTTGAGTGACCCACCAATTCGAGACCTTTCAAGCACAAACAGCAACGTTATTTTTGAACGAACACTAAATAAATGTGTATCCTAATTTTACTTGTACATAGTACTTAACGTATTAATGGCGATAGTAGTAATTGTGAGTGAGGGAGTAAAGTGCATATTTTGCACATTGTACCTGCGTAGCTAGACCTTTCATGTGTAACATCCTGAGCAGTGGATTCATCAACAATTGAATGCCTTGTTAACTAGAGTTGTTTCTTGTACTCTGGCTTATATCGCCACAACGTAGGTTAATTTGTGCATATTCAATGTGCGGTGTGATTAAATGTAAGAAAAGACAGTCACCGAAGACAAAACTAGCCAGATACTGAGTGCTTGAACACGCTGTCATCAGTATGACTACAGGGATCAAGACGTAGAAGCTGGTGACCCAAGTCAGCACCACGTTCAATACTGTGGTTAAGACCATGCTGACGACAATGACAGTCTTGCGGCCAAATCTACAACAAGACAGGTATTATAAGAACTATGAAAATAATTAAATTCTTTAAGTATTGAAGAAAAATAAAACACGTTTTCACACGCTCATTGTACAACGTAAAGCTCAAACGAGTTAAGGCTTTAAACCGGACCGACCATGGGGCATTTTTGAGAGTTTGAGTATGATATAGTTTGCCTGTGCGGGAATAAACCGGATAATGACGTTTGCGTGTTTGATTTTAACGCCGCACTCAGCAATATTCCTGCTACATCTGTATAAATATTCAAATCTTGATCAGACAGTTGAGTTGAATAATGTGACATGCATCAACCAAATTAGCACAGAGGTCACCTTTTCTAAATACGTAAGGGACAAGTAAGGGGAACAGAAAGCATGATAAAATACAGGAAAACAAGTGTTCGACTGGATATCTGACAAAATACAAATGTGTTTATGCTATTTTCATAAGTAATACTTTTTTTAGTTGCATACACAGGTTTTTTATATTTTGATATTAGTTTCACGTGAATAAGTGTTGATATAAACGTTACGTGTCCGAGAGAAATCCACTGAAGACGACCCCAATCGCTTGTCCTGCCATGTTCAGCATCTTCCCGTGTGTCACGTAGGATTTCTTCTCACAAACCATATTCATCTGCAGTCAAGGCAACTGTGTAGCCAGCTGGTTAATTAAATATGTCATAGCCGAAAACACATGCATGTGAGTTTGTTGTTTAAAGCCACAGTTCACTTATTCAGGCTATTTTGAGGCGGTATATAAATGTTAGTAATGCAAACTTCTCACCATACTGCGCGCGACTGATTTTATTCTAGGTTCATAACACTCCCCTTTGCGGGCTGAAAAACCATCAAGATATAAGCACTCCCCTTCTACTTACGCCCTGTCCTTATTAATTTCTCATGCAACACACATGCACGCACGCACGTACGCACACACACAACCGAATCCTACAACGACGCTGTGGGAACTAGCCTTCCTCGGATATGGCATGGTTATTATTTGGATTTTACGCCACGTTTATCAATATCCCAGCATAATCATGGGGAGGTTCGGGGACACCAAGATGGGACTGACCGTGTGAACCAGCAGATCGTGACTAATTATTGACCTGCATAATTGGTCTTGCGCATGAAGGTTGTGAGATGGCATATACATACTGACTGTGCAATGGTCGTGTCGAAGGAACTCTTATCATACACCCAGGAATGGCATGTTTCTGTGTATCTGTTGAGGGGTCTTGTATGGTTGTCATCACGGTGTAAGGTAACGTCTGTGTACACTTTACACGGCAAATACGAGACGTTATCAGATGCCAGTCGAGGTATGGTGAGGTTGATTAAGTATTCATGTCCTTTGTCCTGAACTTCGTATGTATCATTTTTGAGACCTGGAATTGCGCAGCTGGAACATATTCATCACATGTTAAGTGAAGTCATCATTCATGTTTATCATGGCGAGGCAGACCAGTGGTTTAAGAAGGGTTAAAGTGTCTTGGCTATCACAGGGCTGTATGACAGGGGGGATGAACTTAACTTTCCAACCTTCATGTTTAAGTTTACCTTCATATCGAGCAACATTCTAGCTACTCCATCCTTTTGCAATTCTGCTTTAATCAATTTTTAGGTTCAATCAACTATGTTATTTTAATCAAGATTTAACAGAAGGTAATATGATTCCTACGTACAAATTGTTTTCTTCGGATAAAAGTGCACAACTGGTAATAGCCAGTATGTTTGTGACGGATGCCACTGGTTGGGCAGGATGCACTCATCTTTTCGAGAACAGCAGTGGGTAACATCAATATTGATTAAATACATATGCCGATAGTATAGTCAAAATTGTAACTTCCTGTGGATATAGAAAGTGTTTCGTCCCTGTTACTGTTTTTAAGGAATAAGGTTACAACGCTTATATAATTTTTTTGTCTTACCGGTGTTCGGGAACAGCAAAGAGAAACACGACCAAGGATATGCTCTGGATAGCAATCGCTATAGCAGGCAGGCATAGCAACACGTACAGTCGCCTCTGATAAGGTCCGAACTCTCCAATGGTCCTCAAGAGATCATCGAACCTCATTTTGAACTGCAGCCAAACTGATATTAAACCATTATATTTCGAGAGTGGTAACATTTGATGATCGAAACAAGGAAATTCAAGTAAGAACTTGAGGTGTATACATATATAATGTATACTAATGGTCACACAGCCAATTCCCTACCACTATCACGCGGCTGTTGTCAAGATGACGCATTATCATCAAACATTTTCTTATTGTGTGTAGAAATGATCCTTGCCATTATGCTGAGAAATAACAGAAATACTAAGGGTGTAAAACTTGGAAATATTGAATATATTCTCTCTCAATTTGCTGATGACACAACTATTATATACAAAACTTTATATACAACAATTCATGGACTAACCTTCTTTGCTAGGTTTTCATGAAATATAGTTAATATTGAAAAAGGAACAGTATATGGATTGGATCTAAAATGAGATTAAAACATAAACTATGTAAGAAATGGAGTCTTGAATGGGTAGAGAGCTTTAATTTGCTTGGAATAGACTTTGATATAGATTTGGATGATGTGGTAGAAAAATATATAAACATAAACTAAAGAAATATCAAATTTAATGAAAATTTGGTCATTCTTGGCTAAATTGTACCATCTCTTTTCAGTGTTACCTAATCCAATATTGTTGATGAACTACAAATGAACGATTTTCAATTTATTTGGGGTGGTAATATCGACAAACTAAAGAGAGAGAGAAAACGTACTGTACACATAAAGATGGAGAAATTAAAGTACCACATATTTTTAAAACAACCCAGTCACAAAAACTGTCTTGGAAGAAAAGAATCTTGACAAAAGAACTCAAACTTCAAAAATCTTTTCTTTGGAAATCTACCTCCACTACCAGTAAGCTTGTTTGAAATTGGTCCAACAAAAGAATATGCAACTAATATAGATAATCCTCTTTTAGAGTGATGTACTTTTGGCTTGGGCAGATTACATTAATACTTGATTGGAAATCAGGTTCAGATGAGTCTTTTTACATTTCCTTTCTGGCTTAACAAGTAACTAATTATTGGAGATAAAACACCTTTTTACTCGAAGGAATAAGGACGGTTAAAGATTTATTGGGTAATGATGGACAATATTTGGATTTTAATAAATTTGTAGCTAAATGGCAGTGCAATGCCAACTTCCTTTCTTATCAAAGTCTGATCAGCTGTGTGGAACACCAACAATTTTTATCCTTGCAACGCGTTTTGCGGGGGTATTAAAATGCGTCTTAAAGTCCGTCTTTTCCCGAGCTGAACTTCACAACTTCACTATTTCTTCACCAAACTTGGCACATAGATAGATCTGGTAGTGTACTTGTGCCTTTCGGTAATTTTTTATTTCGGTATACAATATTTTTTTGCGTTTCCACGGCAACAAATTTGTCTTTGACTGAAATTGGTGGTTGTGCTCTTTTCCGGAGCAGAACTTTAAACCGGTCACTATTTCTTCACCAAACTTAGCACATGGATAGGTCTGGTGGTATACTGGTGCCTTTTGGACGTTTTGGAATTCTGAATAAAATATCTTTTGTGTTTCCATGGCAACAAGTTTGACGTCGACTGAATTTGGTGGTAGTGCTCTTTTCCGGAGCAGAACTTTAAAACCTTTCAATACTCTCCTTCCACTTTGCCATATACACACCAAAACATTTGAAATAATCATAACTAGTAGACATATTCATGAAGAGTATTTTGAGGGGGATATTGATGACTGTGTCTTCTTGTTTTATATAATTTTGCTACCCTGACCACTTATCATCAGAACTGTCTGTAGTAGTTTACTACTGTTAGGTTCTCATAAGGGTAACAGATTGTTTTATATAACTCTTCTCCCATCCGTATTCAAGAAACCAGCCCCAAATTTATAATGGGAGAACATTCTTGAACCTAACATTGATAAATCAGGCTGGAGAACTTACAACATTATACCATTTAGATGTGCACAGAGTACGGAATTGAGATGGTTCCAAATGAAAATTAATCACACTATTTTAGACACAAAATATTATTTACATTTAATAAAAGGCAGTGACTCACCATTGTGTAGCTATTGTAATATTTCTAATGGAACCATTTTTCACCTATTTTGGGATTTTAATTTGATAAATAGATTGTGGAGAAAAACTGAAGAGTGGCTCATGTCTGATGCTGGAATAAGAATTAAACGTACTTGCAAATGATACTATTTAGATTAAAGGAAAACTGAAATGATCCTTTTAATATAATTTTGCTTCTTATTAAGCAGACACCTTTTCACTACAGGAGGTATGGAGTAGTACCAATATTCTTAGAATTTGCTGAGAATACTATTATGTGTCAAAATGTAATGTTTTTACAACTTGCTCATGTGATTATTCCCTATTTATGTTCGGGCATCTAATTGAATTTATGTTCGGGCATCTAATGGAACATAGTACGTGCCTCAGCAAACACTTTGCACATTGAAAAGGTCAGTTGTCATCTGAGACGAATCTGTGTTCACGTGCATATCAACACGAGACTCATAAAATATTATTTGGTCATCGTTACATATGTTATTTACGGATCTAGTCCAAATATAACATTGTTGAACATAAACATAGATCAATATACATGTATGTTCATAGCTGTATAGATTCTGTTGTTAGCTTCAATATATGAATACATATTTTTTTTTGTACATGACGGTGTTAAAAGCGTGCAATTATCAGCCTTGTTGTTGACCATATATTACATGAGATCTGTACTTAAAATGTGCTTATAATAAAGAACTTCCTGCCACTAATTTACCCACAAAATTAAGGAGATAACCATAAAATATCAGCTCGACATTAAAAACGATAACGAAACCGCCTCACATATTTCCTATATGATTCTGTGTGTGAAGACTCCGAGTAAACAAGAATTCATCAGAAGTCTTTATGACGTCACGTTTCCAACTGCAATATTCCAACAGCTTTGGTCTTTGTTAACTTCTTTGGATATAGAGGTTGGTGTGATGAACAAAGAAGATATAGAGATTACTAAACGAGTGGGTGTGTAATATTGTCCATATTCAACATCCACTAGTTTTGCCTTGTGATCACACAGGACGTGAAAACAGTGTATTCAAAGAAGCGAACAAAAAGCGTTGAGTGACATTCCCGCGCAATAATACAAGGCTCCACGCAATGGTACAAAAGGTAATAGTGGCGTACATTTTGTCTCAAGAATGTGCATAAAAGATAGTTCTTGTTTTCGTTGTGAAAGCAGCAGAAAAGTCAATGGTGAGTGAAATTTAAATTTGCATTTTCAAATAGATTGGTGTTCAGGATAGATCCCAACTTAATTTCATTTCTCAGTCACTGAACACTAAACACCCTCACTGAAACAATGGACGTGTCACTGCTAAACGACGATGAATAACACCGACTTAGACGACTTAGATTTAAGAAGTTTATTGTCATCAAGTCTCATTTGCTTTTCTGGCGCAATGAAGTTGACATTGATTGTACCTCCAACAGTTGACAACAACGGAGGAAGGGAGACTAGAGAACTTGAGCAGTGGGTTGAACGAGCTGAGGTTTTTGATACTTTTGACGTTTTTGTGCCCTGATATGTGCATATTTTCAGTTGAGTTGTTTGATACACACACACACACACACACACACACACACACACACACACACACACACACACACACACACACACACACACACACACACACACACACACACACACACACACACACACACACACACACACACACACACACACACACACACACACACACACACACACACACACACACACACATTTAATTAAGCATACAATATTGAACTCGCTTGTTCAATACTTCGGTTATAATGCATATTCAACTTTTTTTATCACTGTTAGGGTAATGGTGGCAATGTACGAAATATTACCGATGTCATAGGGATGTTTCATTGGGGCACAAAACCCGGCCACATACATCAGAACAAATACATTTATACAGGCCGATACACAGATGGAAAACATTAAACATTACTTACACCAGCCAGGAGAAAACTAGGAGAAACCCTTTTCCCAGAAACACAATCACTGTACGCTGACGTGTTAGGCAGTGTCGACAAAGTTCAAAATGGCGTTGATAATATTTTATGAGTCTCGTGTTGATATGCACGTGAACACAGATTCGTCTCAGATGACAACTGACCTTTTTAATGTGCAAAGTGTTTGCTGAGGCACGTACTATGTTCCATTAGATGCCCGAACATAAATTCAATTAGATGCCCGAACATAAATAGGAAATAAAAAATATGCATTTCATTTAGTTCCCGAATGATATATTACAAAGTCGACCGCATCATTACACCTCTCGGCTACATTGTTATTAAACTCTGTGATTTCAAAAGGACCGATATTGGATAGTTGTCAGGTATTTACATTTGCAACAAAATATAATTTGGTTTTGAAATAGTATGTACACGACGTGAGACACAGCGTGGGTGTTAAAACTGTGCTTTAGGGTTAGGTGAGTGGGCTTTTCTTTTCTTTTGTTTGTTGGTGTGTGCGGTGGGTGTCTACGACTTTACTAGGTAGAATTACTGACTTTACTGAACCTAGATTTGAATACTATCGTTGTTTGACACGCCAAAAGAATGCAACTAACATGAAACTTTTACGGACACTCGACAGGATCTATGTTATTATTATGCTTCAAACTGAGATTGACCATTTAGGGGGTAGTACTACTTAACTCATATGGGCCCGAAATCCAAGATGGCTATTTGTACCATAATATGAGAACGTGGCGTCCAATATCACAAGCACATTCTGCTTTGCTTTTATATTTGACACTTTTTTGTAATCAAACTTGGGAGGTAGGTAGGTCTAGGGAAAATGGAATTACTTAGTGCGTGATGTTGTCTTGTGCATGAAACAAGGTCACAAATCAGTTGCGAACGTTGGTCACGGAGATCTTGAATGTGTCTCCGTGTTTGGCAGCTTGACTTGTGTAAGTTTCTAAGACTTCTTTCCTGCCCCACGACGAAGCACACATGATATA